TCCTGTAACTCCTGCCGCTGCGCGTCCAATTCAGCCTCGTAGCGGCGCAGTTTTTCAACTGGTACCAATGCAAGGATCCCACCAATCATAGACACGACACTAACGACAATCATCACATTTACTGCGTTTCTCTGTGTGGCAATACCGTCACCCAGAAGGGCAGATGAGACTGAAAGAAGAATAAGAGATGCAACGTTGGCTCCTGCCATAAGAAGTGCCCCAGGAACTGATTCGGGTAGTGGATGAGTTATTTCCATGGCGAACTCGAAACAGATGGGTATCGCTGTGTTCTGCCCCAAACCCGCTAGTATGTATACGAGACTACACATAGCATCCATTAATTTTGAATATGGTGTGGCTCTTGTCATTGTTATAATTAACGCAGAGCAACAGAGGGCTGAGAACATAAAACAAATAAGTAGTGTTAGCTTATACTTACGACTTTGGCCTACCCAGGCTCCTACTCCGTAGGCTGTAGCTGTACCCAGCACAATATTGCCAGCTCCCATGAATCCTGCCAACTCTTGACTGACACCGAATGGTTCTAGTATCTGTGTTAACACAGAGGCAAAGGTCCATACACTCCCCATACTGATACTGAAGGCAAAGAATAGAAAGAGAAAATCCCTGGATTTCAAAAGATGAAATCCAGCGCGGTAAACGTGAATGATACTTCGAATATGCTCGTTTCTAGTACAATAGGTACTTCCTTGATTTCCGATAGGTTCTGAATGTCGTTGGTTTCGACCACTTCGTGGGACAGAAGACCCTGAATTTACAGATGCTTCAGCTGTCGCCGTGGCACTGCGCAGTGAAATATCACCGTTGCTCCAACGGCGTGGTGGATGCCGTGGTGGTTGAAGAAAGAAGATTACACCAATAAACACTGCACAACAGTATGCCATTTCTGTACCAAAAAGTATCATGAAGGATCTCCGACTGGGAGTTTTAACAATTAGTGGAGGTACGAAAAGAGCTAACGCATTTCCAAGGCTATTTGATGTACTTGCCACAGCTGTGGCAAGAGCTCGTTGATGCGGAGGAAAGTAATGGGAGGCAATTAAAGGAGGTGTCGATAAAACGAAAAGTTGAGCAACAGAGTTAATCGTCTGTGCAATAATCATGGTGGTGAAAGAGGGAAAAAAAAGACCAGGAGCAACCTTTAATACGGAACCCAATGCATTAAGTCCAGATCCAATTAACACCCCGCGACGCACACCCCAGCGTTCAAATGTGGAACACGTAAAAACGACACCTACTGCAAATACAATCATGTAAACAGACGATAAATAATTTAACTGATCAGTACTCAAGTTAAAAAATAATCGTGCTGGTGTAGCAATAGGGGCAAACGTAATCCATTGAATGGCATTTGAGCTGCTGAAGAAGCAGAAGAGAATCAACACAACCCACTTGCGAACGTCACCAGACCTTCTCATCTTATTTTATGTACTTACACAACCCTTAAGAAATCGTTACTAAAAATTCTAGAATATAGAGACGCTATAAAACTGAAAAAAAAAACCTACTTTGTACCACCACAAAAACCAAAATACCAAAACGCATTAAAGGCAAAATAATAGTAATAATTACAAGAATGATAATAATAATAATAATAATAATAATATTAATTTAACAACAACAAAAACAAAAGAATTTATAAAACAAAGAAGCCCAGAGAGTTCTACACCCAGGACGAACCATAAAAATTGGACATGATTTCCATTTCATATGCTCAAGAAAAAAGCAATTGCTAAAAAAAAAGATAGAGAAATTCCGCAATAAACCCCCATACAATACGATTCATGAAAGACACCTTCTTCCAATATATAATACTATAATCTGCATGGGCTAGAAAACCAAAAGAAGCAATAGATGATAGATTATACTCCCAAAAAACCACAATTAATAAAACACAAATTATCGAGTAAAGAATTACAGGAATAAAAAAAAACGCCTAATGTAGTCCAGGAACAACAACAATAACAAATGCACTGCAAATTCCGTTCCACAAAAGAAAAAAAAAGTTTTTTTAAAAAAAAAACCAACACAAACAGAGCACCTGTATATATATATATATATATATATATATATATTAGTCCAGAAAACCTTATAAAGGAGAGTTTTCTATACGTATATATTATATATAGAAAACAGAAAAGCAATAAAAAAAAAACTGATTGAAAGAAAAAGATTCTGTCATCACAAAAACACAGCAGATTAGCAAAGAAAAAAAATTAAAGGTTGATCTTTAAAACACTGCACAATAACTCAGACGCACATTCATCACACATGTCACCATCGACTATAATACATCTTGAAAAAAAACAATGGTAACAATAAGAAGAAGAGAAAAAAGTGGGAAAGTGGCGAAAATTAAATAAAAAAAAGATTCGGTCCAACAGCAGAAAAAAACACTTTACCACAGTAATTCCCCTTGTAATATTGCGCACCATTAAGTTCACACTTCTTCCAATAACTTTCCGTTGTATCCAGTATTAGGGAAATCCTTCTCAGATGACCGACCATACTCACGCGCTATCTTAATGCGTGCATCATCCCTCACCCACACATCAACAGGAACCCTCCCATTAAATGGCGTCCGAAACTGTGGAATAGAACTCCTCATCATACGCCACTTGCTTAACCCATAACCTTTTGCAGTCCTTAATTGCAACACACGCTGCATCCAAAGCATATCTTTGCAAGTTACACACATTGGGATATCCCTTGAAACACGATAATGAATTTTACCAAGACGCACAAATGTTCCATAATTCGTAACATATTTTTTAAATCCAAGTAAGCGACGACGCACATCGTAGTCAATATCCTCAATACCAAATGGGTAAAAGTTTTCGTCAAAGAATCCTACACTGCTAATCGCCAATCGTGTCAATATGACGGACGCAAAGCAATTTTCCTTTAAATTCATACAAAAAACCCCGTAATGTTCGGAGAATGCATTTGCCCGTTCCTTTGCGGGTGCGTAGCGTATTCTGTCTGGCAGCAGAGCTGATGTTGAGAGACTACTGTTTCCGTGTGGTGAGCGTAGCACTTTGGCCCGCCTCCCGGCCGGTGCTTGCCCACTCGGTTCACGTTGCACCTCCGCTTCCAGCTGGTCGATGCGAGCGGCGTCTTTCTGTGTGCGTGTGTGCACTTCTTGCAGCAGTCGCGGCAGCAGATCTGGCGAGAAGGTCACGTCGCTGTTTGTGATGAACACAAACGGCACTTCCTCGCGCGGGCGGGAGAGGGCGAGGCGGAGGCCCACGTTGACCGCCCCGCTGTACCCAATGTTCTCCGCGTGGTGCCGCACCACCAGCCGGCCGCTCCAGCCGTACGCGTCGAGCAGCGACTGCAGGAACGCCGACAGCTGCGGCTCCTCCCCGTTCTGCACCAGCACCAGCAGCCGCACCGGCACGGTGATGTTGCACATGAGCTCGCGGAAGTCCGGCAGGTCGAGCATGAGCGGCACCACCATCATCGGCAGCACGCCGGGGCCGCTGTTGTTCCCAACCCAACGCGACTCCGCGTCCACCAGCAGACGTTCACCGACACAGCGAAGGTAGTGGTTGGGTCTCACGGAAGGCGGGGGCTCACTGAGAGGTCGGCTCGTCAAATCACTCTCTACAACAGTGATTTGAAGTAAGAGTACCAACAGTAGCATTAACAAGAGAATCCCAAACACAATAATAATAGTTAAGGACTTCTTCGGTGGAAGATGCATGATTTGCGTCCGAAAAACAGATATGATTATATCTCGATTCATGTGCTTATCGTATGTTTCAGAAATA